TTTTGTTTTAAAACAAGTGATGACCCAAACATTCTCCACCTCTAAAACAACCGTTCGTCCTCGAACGGACAGAAGAAGGAAGTACCTGAGTCGGGGAAAGATGGGGATAACAGCTCCGCATATCGGACTCGGGCTCCCAGGTCGATGCCTCAGGAGGCTGACCTCTCCATTGAACACGAACAGAAGAAAAACTCTTTGACCTCAACTGACGAACCGGTCGGTCTAGAATAGCTACTAGCTCCTCCTCATAAGACAAGTCCTTGTCCAACTGGACAGTGCTAAAATCTAACACGTGGGATGGATTGCCGTGATACTTCCGAAGTATGGACACATGAAACACTAGATGCACGACTGATAAGCTTGGAGGCAATGCAAGTCTATAATCCACCTCTCCCACTCGACCAAGAATCTCAAATGGACCAATGAACCTAGGGCTAAGCTTGCCCTTCTTCCCGAATCTCATTACGCCCTTCATAGGTGACACTCGAAGCAATACTCGCTCACCTACCATGAATACCAAATCTTGAACCTTGAGGTCGGCATAACTCTTTTGCCTATACTGAGCGGTATAAATCTTATCATGAATAATCCCGACCTTGTCTAAAGCCTCCTGAATAAGATCCGTACCCAACAATCGAGCCTCTCCCGGCTCAAACCATCCAACAGGAGATCGACACCGCCTACCATATAAAGCCTCATAAGGAGCCATCTGGATACTCGACTGGTAACTGTTGTTGTAGGCAAACTCTGCTAAGGGAAAAAACTGATCCCACGAGCCTCCAAAGTCAATGACATAAGCTCGGAGAATATCCTCCAAAATTTGAATAGTCCGCTCGGACTGCCTGTCCATCTGAGGATGAACTGATGTACTCAACTCAACCTGGGTGCCCAACTCGCGCTGAACTGCTCTTCAGAAACGCGAGGTAAATTGCATACCTCAGTCCAAAATGATAGATACAGGCACACCATGAAGACGAAAAATCTCCTGGATATAGATCTCAACTAACCTCTCATTACATGCAAAAGTAACCTCTCCAGGAATGAGCCTAAAATGTATAATGCAAAAGCATATACATCCTCACATTACATGCTTTTTTAGTATGCAAATTGTACTATCAATGTTGAGTGTTTGCCTCAACACTGGTAATAGGATTTTTGTGCCACTCAATTTTTATTTCTTTCATCATTTAAGACCCTCCGAATTTTCATTTATATGTTGTAATATTTTTATTTTGATTTATATATAAAATAACCCTAGGCACTTGCCTGGTGGATTGAAAAAAAAAACTAACCTCTCAGATGAATAAGAGACTACTACAGGAATGAAATGCGCTGACTTGGTCAGCCTATCAACAATGACCCATACAACATCGAACTTCCTTCGAGTCTGCGGGAGTCCTACAACAAAATCCATAGTGATCCGCTCCCACTTCCACTCGGGAAGCTCAATCCTCTGAAATAAACCACCAGGCCTCTGATGCTCGTACTTAACCTGCTGACAATTCAAACACCGAGCTACATATGCAACGATATCTTTCTTCATTCTCCACCACCAATAATGCTACCGCAAATTCTGATACATCTTCGCGATGCCCGGATGAATAGAGTACCGGGAGCTATGGGCTTCCTCTAAAATCAACTCTCGGAGCCCATTCACATTAGGCACAAAAACTCGACCCTAGAATCTCAAAACTCCATCATCATCTAAGGTAACCTGCTTGGCACCTCCGCGCTGCACCGTGTCTCTAAGGACACACAAATGGGGATCATTATACTGTCAATCAGGGATATGCTCCAATAAAGAAGAACGAGTGACCGTGTAGGCCAATACATGACTAGGCTCAGAAATATCCAACCTCATAAACTGATTGGCCAAAGCCTGAACGTCCAAAGCAAGCGGTTTCTCACCGACCGGAATATAAGCAAGACTGCCCATACTGGCTGACTTCCTACTCAACGCATCGGCCACCACATTGGCCTTTCCCGGATGATACAAGATAGTGATATCATAATCTTTCAACAACTCCAACCACCTCCTCTGTCTCAAATTCAACTCCATTTGCTTGAACAAATACTGAAGACTCTTTGTGATTTGTGAACACCTCACATGCCACGCCATATAGATAATGCCTCCAAATTTTCAATGCGTTACAATGGATGCCAACTCCAAGTCATGAATCGGATAATTCTTCTCATGAATCTTCAACTGTCGCGAAGCATAGGCAATGACCTTGCCATCCTGCATCAACATTGCACCAAGCCCAATACGAGATGCATCACAATAAACTATATAAGGCCCTGAACCTATGGGCAAAACCAACACCAGTGTTGTAGTCAAAGCTGTCTTGAGCTTCTGAAAATTCGCCTCACACTCGCCTGACCATCTGAACTGGGCACCGTTTTGGGTCAACTTGGTCATCGGGGCTGTGTTAGATGAACACCTCCACGAACCGACGGCAGTAGCCTGCCAATCCCAAGAAACTCCGAATCTCTGTAGCTGATGCTGGTCTAGGCCAGTTCTTGATTGACTCAATCTTCTTTGGATCAACCTAAATACCCTCCGTTGATACAACATGACCCAGAAATGCAACTGAACTCAACCAGAACTCACACTTCGAGAACTTAGCATATAACTGACTATCCTTCAAGGTTTGAAGAACAACTCTAAGATACTTCTCGTGCTCCTCCTGGATGCGGGAATATATCAATATATCATCAATGAAGACTATCACGAACGAGTCCAAATAAGGCCTGAACACTCGGTTTATCAAATCCATAAAAGCTGCTGGGGCATAGATCAACCCAAATGACATGACTTGGAACTCATAATGCCCGTACCATGTACAGAAAGCGGTCTTAGGGACATCGGATGCCCTAATCCTCAACTGATGGTAGCCAGATCTCAAATCAATCTTTGAAAACACCTTGGCACCCTGAAGCTGATCAAACAAATCATCGATCCTCGGGAATGGATACTTATTCTTAATTGTAACCTTGTTCAACTATAGGTAATCAATACACATTCTCATCGACCCATCCTTCTTCTTAACAAACAACACCGGCGCACCCCAAGGAGAAACACTGGGTCTAATGAAACCCTTCTCAAGTAAGTCTTGCAACTGTTCCTTCAACTCTTTCAACTCCGGTGGGGCCATACGATACGACAGGATAGAAATGGGCTGAGTACCTGGAGCCAAATCAATGCAAATGTCAATATCCACCTTGGGCGCATACCCGACAGGTCTGAAGGGAAAACATCAGGAAACTCTCAAACAATGGTCATCGAATCAATAGAAGGGACCTCGATACTAGAATCACGAACATATGCCAAATAGGCCAAACACCCCTTCTCGACCATATGCCAAGCCTTCACATACAAGATAACACCGTGGCTAGAATGACAAAGAGTCCCTCTCCCCTCTAAATGGGGCAAATTCGGTAAGGCTAAGGTCACAGTCTTGGCATGACAATCCAAGATAGCATGGTAAGGTGATAACCAGTCCATCCCCAATATAACATCGAAATCGACCATGTCTAGAAGCAACAAATCCACACGAGTCTCAAGACCCCCAATCACCACAATACAATAACGATGGACTCGATCTACCACAATGGAATCACCCACCGGTGTAGACACATAAACAAGAATACTCAATGAATTACTAGGTATGACCAGATACGGTGCAAAATAAGAGGAAACATATGAGTAAGTAAACTCTGGATCAAATAACAGTGAAGTATCTCTATCATAAACCAGAATAGTACCTGTAATGATTGCATCTGAAGCCTTAGCCTCGGGCCTGGATGGAAGGGCATAACATCGGGGCTGGGCCCCACCACCTTGAACTACATCTCTAGGATGGCCTGTAGTTGGCTGGCCTCCACCTCTAGCGGCATGAGCTCCACCTCTAGTACCTCTACCTTCACCTCTAGCACCTCTACCCCCACCTCTAGCTGGCTGGACGGGATGTGGAATACCTGGTGCCTGTACCATAGCACGAGAACCCTGATTCTGAGAGCTACTCGGTGCTCGAGGGAAAAACTTGGCAATGTGACCTGGATCACCACACGTGTAACAAGCCCTCGGCTGCTGAGACTGCTGGCCCTGACTACCTGAATAACCACCCCAAAAACTCTAAAGTGGCGGTGCGCTGATAGGAGCAGGTGGTGCACTATAGGATTGCTGATCGGGATATTGCATTTGGGGACCACGACCACCTAAAGTACCATGAGATACCTGGAGTGCTGACTGAAAGGGGCTAGGAGGATGGCCTCTACCATACGAATCTCAACCTCCGGATGAGGTACCACTGAATCGGCCTGAATGATGGGGCCTCTTGCCTCACCTATGACCGCCTCCCTATGATAGAACTATCTCAACTCTATGGTCCACATTGGCCGCCTCCTGAAAAGTAATCTCACTCCCAGCCTCTCTAGCCATCTAAAGATGAATCGGCTGAATAAGACCGTCAATAAACCTCATCACCCTTTTTTTGTCTCTCTCTCTCGGTGGGGAGTATGATGAGAGCATGGCAAGCCAAATCAATGAACCTGGTCTCAAACTGGGTAACCTTCATGGAACCCTGCTGGAGGCACCCAAACTGCCTCCGACAGGCCTCTCTCTAAGTAACGAGGAGAAACTTCTCTGGGAATGACACTGTAAACTGCTCCCAAGTCAAGGCTGGCGATCCGGCTGGTCTCGCTAAGCAATAATCCCTCCACCAAGTCTTGGCGGATCCAGACAAGTGAAATGTAGCAAAATCGACCCCATTGGTCACAACAATGCCCATGTTCCTAAGAACCTCGTGGAAGCTGTCTATATAATCATGGGGATCCTCAGTAGATGCACCGCTGAAAGTAGAAGTGAAGAGCTTAGTGAATCTATCCAGTCTCCACAAAGCATCGACGGACATAGCCGCTACATCACCTGTCTGAGCTACCACACCCGGCTGTACTTCTCCAACTAGCTAAACCGCTGGAGTCTTAATCTGAAGAGCTACCTACTCTGGAGTGCGAGTAGTAGGAGTCTGGGCCCCTCTTCCAGCCTGAGAGGCAGTTGGTGCTACAAGAAGCAAGCCTGCCCGAGTGACACTCTCCATGAGGCCCACTAATCAGACCAGAGCATCCTGAAGAACTGGGGTAGCAATAAACCCCTATAGGACCTGAGCTGGGCCCACCGGAACTGCCGGAGCAGGAACCTCTTCATCAAAATTAACCTAAGGCTCCGTCACTAGGGCTGTTGCTCGGAGTTGAGATCTGCCCCTACCTCGGCCTCTAGCACGGTCTCGGCCTCGCCTTCTGCCCCTCGTGGGAATGGCTGCTGGGGGCTCGAGCTGCTGAGCAGAGGATGAGAAAGCGCGTGTTCTCACCATCTACAAAAGAACAGAGTAGAAGTTCAATTAGCATTGAGAAACAAAACCGCACGATAGGAAAGAATAAATGTGAAGTTTTTCCTAACTCTGTAGCCTCTGGGGGATAAATACAGACGTCTCCGTACCGATCCCTCAGACTCTACTAAGCTTGTCTGTGAACTGTGAGACCTGTGTAACCTAGAGCTCTGATACCAACTTGACACGACCAAGATTTTCCACCCTCGAGAGTCGTAATTGTGCCTACTAATAGGAGCTAGGCAATCCAAACCTTAACTATTTGTTACACTTTCATTTTTGCTTCTTTTAACAAATACAAGCCGATAATATGATAAATGCAAAATTTTAAATAAATAAGCAGAAGTCAACAATTATATATCTTAATGCTACGTCTATTACAACTTTTAAAAACCTCAAATACCCCAAAACCTGGTGTCACAGGGTCACAGACTGTCTAAGAGTTACTACAAACAAGGTCTGAAGAAATACAATACACGATTTCTGAACAAAGGAAATGAAATAGGAAATAGAGATAGAGGGAGATGCCAGGGCCTGCGGACGCCTACAGGTATACATTGGGTCTCCGAGTGGAGTGAAGGAAGCCCTACAACTACTATCCGAAAGCTGCTCCTAGATCTGCACACAGTGCATAGTATAATATCAGCACAACCGACCCCATATGCTAGTAAGTGTCTAGCCTATCCTCGACGAAGTAGTGACGAGGCTAGGACCAAACTACCAAATAAACCTGTGCAGTTCATATATATATATACAGCGGAAAAGAATACAGAAATAACCAGTCAATGTGGGAGTGGGGAAACATGCTGTGGGGCGACAATAGTTCTGAATAGATAGGCATCAAGTAAGGAGAGACAACATAACTAGAATATCAACAAAGAAGCATAAATCAACAATTGCAAGACATCACCTTTCGTGCTTTTACTCTCAGCCTCACCAAAGCAGTTATATAATAAAAACATGCACGGCATCACCCTTCGTGCTTTTACTCTCATCCTCACCAAAACAATCATATAATGAAAATGTGCACGACATCACCCTTCATGCTTTTACTCTCTTTTCTCAACATATAATTAGTAGAATCGACACGGAATGGTACGTCGTGCGGCATGGCATCACCCTTCGTGCTTTTACACTCTTTCCTCACAATAACAAACAATGCACGGCATCACCCTTCGTGCTTTAACACTCTTCCTCGCCCAAACAACAATCACAAACAAAGGGGCAAGGGAATAAACAAAATAATAATAGAAATATCGGCAAGGGAACACAATTAAATCCAGGCGAGGGAACAACATCAATAATCTCAACATCTCGGCAAGGGAGATAATTAACAAAGCAACAATATCCCGGTAAGGGAGCTAATTAACAAAGAACCAATATCCCGGAAAGGGAACAATTTAATTACTCTTTCTCAATTTTACTTCACAATTCACTTCACAACTTGATCCAATGCTCTAGAGGTTCGATTATCACTTATAACTAATTTCACAACTCGTGCCAATGCTCTAAAAGTTCAATTGTCACTTATACTTTCACAATTTCACTATACAACTTGAGCCAACGCTCCTCAATGTTCATAGTTCACAATTCTTTCCACAAGCTTTATACAACAATTAGGAATCTTCACCAAGGCATGAATAATACAACAAAATCATTAAAACCACAATATAAGACCAACGGTCATGCTTGACACCAACGTATAGATACTCGTCACCATGCCTATACGTCGTACTCGATAAGAAGCAAATAGTAAATAGGACACAACTCTTAATCCCTCAAGCTAAGGTTAAACCAAACACCTACCTCGATGCCTCGAACACAACTCAGGTTTCAATTATAGCTTTACCCCTCGATTCAACCACCAATTTGTTCGTATCTAGTCACAAGTTACTTAATTACATCAATAAATGTTAAATGAATCAATTTGAATGCATGAAAATGAGTTTTCTAAAGTTTTACCCAAAAAGTCAAAAATTGTCCCCGGGCCCACATGGTCAAATCCCGAGGTTCGAACAAAAATCCGATTACCCATTCCCCTACGAGCTCAAATATGTAATTTATTTTGAAATCGGACCTCAAATCGAGGTCCAAATCCCCAATTTTTGAAAAATCTAGGTTCTACCCAAAACACCCAATTTCCCTCATGAGAATAATTGATTTGAAGTTGAAATCTTATATTTTAGGGTTTTGAAAAGTAAAAATAACTGAAAATCCTGTCTATTTATACCCCTCTCAGACCCCCTGTGCGAACCGCACAAAATGGACTGCGGCCGCACAGTCCTTCCTGAGGTACTGCGGTCTAGTGCCTTGTGCGCACCGCACGAATTCGACCGCGGACCGCACAGGTCTCCACCGCGCACCGCACGAAATAGACTACGGACCGCACTGGCCCCCTTCTGCGGTCGCACACAATTTTGTGCGGACCGCACTGGCAGGTTCAGAGACCTGCAACTTCTGGTTTTAAGTCTAAAACATCCTGAACCTACCCGAAACTCACCCAAGCCCTCGGAACTCCAATCCAAGTGCGCATACTAACTCAAAAACATTATATGGACCTACTCGTGTAAATAAATAATCAAAATAACATCATGAACATCAAATTAAGTCTCGAGATCAATGAAATTTTCTCGAAACTTCTTTAAACATAAATTTCACGATCTAAGTCCGAATCACGTCATATGACATTCGTTTTTCACCAAATTCCACAGAAATATCTTAAATTATATATAAGACCTGTACCGGGCACCGAAACCAAAATACGGGTCCGATACCATCATGTTCTAAGCAAATTGCATTTTAATTTTCCTTAAACAATTTGAGAAAACAATTTCCTTTGAAACTTCATTCCTTGGGCTTGGGACCTCGGAATTCGATTCCGGGCATACGTCCAAGTCCCATATTTTCCTACGGAACATCCGGGATCGTCAAATTACAGGTCCGGGTCCGTTTACCCAAAACGTTGACCGAAGTCAAATTAGCTCATTTTATAATCAAAACTTATCATTTTTCACAGATTATCATATTTAAGCTTTCCGGCTACGTGCCCGGACTGCGCACGCAAATTGAGGTAACTCTAAATAAGGTTTTAAGGCCTCAGAACATGGAATTTTGTTTTAAAACAAGTTTTGGGTCATCACAGAAAAATCCGTATGATATTCTTGGAAAAAGATGCACCGTACTCCTTTAAAATCGTAAAATCCCGTTGCTACTACGCAGTGTAACTTTGTATGAAAATTTTACCCCAAAATCCATCACTTTGCTTGATTAGTTTACATTTCTTTGTGATGATATATGAGTCTTAGAGAGTCTTGAAATATTAAGCTTTTCCCGTAAGCTTTGTTTTTGCAAATTTATGCAATTTTCTCTTAGTTTATAGTAATCCTTGTAAGTCACCCATCTACTAAACATGCCACCTAGAATATAAAATGAATTGTCATCAAATGGGCTTTGCATGGCTGCCACTTAATGCTCAAGATTTATGCAAATTATTAATTACCAATTTCTTAATTAACTTGGTAATTTCCCACTAATTCAATAATTAACCAATTATCCACATAATTAAGAATTATCTCAAATTACTTAAAATACTACTCACTTTTAATACACTTTATACACCTTACTATCATGGTCATGTGGTACCTTGCATGGTACTAGTCCATAAATATCAGGTATTATAGCTCGGATCGTATTTGTTTCTCCAAAATGACAACTTTCGACGAAACTCATTTTCTTCGATTTGCTTAACCTTTCACCTTCCAAAATTTACTTGTCCCTTGTTTGATATAGCATAATACTTATAATCTCAAAATAATCTCATTCCCGAGCTTACGTGGATTAACTTACAATGAAAATTTAACGTACACAAGTGCGAGAAGTAATATCTCATTTCCGAGCTTTCATCAATTTATTTGTGGCATACTTTCACGCACGTTAATATGGTGTGTAAGAACAAGTCACACTTATATAATCTTCCTGTGGAATACGCTTCCACGACCTTCCGCATCAGGTAACAGTCCTGCGTATCCATACCACCTGTGAGCACGTGATTTTTGTTTCGCGCGACAATCGCTCCAAAAGAAATAAAAAAATAATAACAATTGGTCCTGCTGTACAATTTTTGGATTTTTACATGGCACTTTGTTAATTATTTATGATTTTTGCCCATTTTATTTTTATTAAAACAAAATACAAAAAAAAAATGTATGTGTCATGCATAATTTGAACCGTAATCCGTTTGTTAAATAGAAAATCATAAATAGGCATCTTTGT